TCTTTCGGGAAAACTATTACACACTTCCCGTTCCGAAGACAGAATCGTGAAAAAGAGGGAAAGAGAACAAGACAGATGACGCACAGACCACCTTCTAGTTGGAGCAGCCGGGAGCTCTGAAGTCGTTTTCTTACTGGAGCCACACAAACACATCACACATTGTCCAAACATCTCTTTCATCCCAATTGCAGAGCCCCGTAAACAATTCGACTCCTCCCTCTCCTAACCCTTCTCCATCCCGGTTTCTAGCTAATTGAAGCTCTACCTCTCCCCACTATCTTTTCCATTTCTCACTCTCCAAGTCCCGTAACTCTCGATCTCTTCTCCGATCCCGAAGTTTGACCTCGCCACCCCTCACGTCTTTGCCTTCCAACCACGAACCCTCGACTCCATTTTGTCATCAGGCTTGCCCTATTCTGCTTGCTTGCTTGCTTGCTTGGACTCGATTCAACCCAGCTCCAGCCACATCACTTCAATTTCGACCGAACACGATCCTCATCTTGAGCCTGAACCCCTAACATCAGGCTCTGTTTCTTCGACGTTTTCACACCCTCGTTCGACCCGTTTCCGCGACACTGAGAGCTCGCCGGTTGCGCACCCAGCCTAATTTTCGCTCCGAACACACTCGTCATATCAAACTTCACACCACAACACACAGCCATCATGGCCTCCAACGGTAACTTCACCCAACAGGATCAGTACAAGGAACCTGCCGACCAACAACAAACAGCTCCTACTACCTCTGCTGCCGATGGCTCTGCCACCGCTGCCGCTTCTGCCACCAACAACCCATCCAAGGATGAGGTTGGCTGGTATTTCGTGGAACAATTCTATACCACCCTGAGCAAGTCGCCTGAGAAGCTTCACGTATGTTACCTCCGTTGCCAGTGCGCTTTCTTCGTACTAACGACCTTGATAGCTTTTCTATGGCAAGCGCTCGCAATTCGTCTATGGTCGCGAAGCTGAGGTTGCCAAGGTCTCTGTTGGCCGACAGGTAAGTTAAGATGGAAAAGGAACATCTGGATTGGTTGCTAACAGTATAACAGGACATTCAAGAACGCATCAAGAACCTAGACTTCCACGACTGCAAGGTCAGGATAACCAATGTTGACTCCCAGGCTTCCTTTGAGAACATCGTCATCCAAGTGATTGGCGAGACTTGCAACACCAACAAAACACCCAAGAAGTTCGTCCAGACCTTTGTCCTTGCCCAGCAACCCTCCGGCTACTTTGTCCTCAATGATATCCTGCGATATATCGATGACGAGAGCGATGATGAGTCTGCTGCTGCCTCTGAGGAGCCTGCCGAGGAGCCTGCCGCTCCCGCTTCGGAGGAACCTGCTGCCGCTGCCGAACCCGAGGCTCCTCAGTCTGTCGAGGAAACCAAGGAGGAGGCCCCTGCCCTCGATCCCGAAGTCGTTGATCAGAAGCTTGAGGAGGTTTCCACTTCTAAGGACAGTGTGACTCTCAACGGCAACAACTCCGAGGAGTCTGAGGCTAAGGACCTTGAGACCAAGCCTGAGGATCCCGCCGAGACCGCTGACGAGGCTGCTAAGGAGCTTGCCGAGGAAGACGTGAAGGAGCCCGAGAAGCCTAAGGATCCTAGCCCTACACCCGTTTCCAAGCCTGTCGCTCCTCCTCCTGCAGCTCCCGAGAAGCCTGTAGCTCCTCCTAAGCCCATGACATGGGCCAGCCGAGCTGCCGCTGCCCTTCCCAAGCCTGTTGTTCCTCTCCCCAAGACTACTACTCCTCCCGTGAACCAGAGCCGTGCTCCCGCTCCTGCTGCTGCCGCTACTTCTCAGCCCGCTGCTGCTCCTGCTGCCACCTCTGCAGCGCCCGCCACTGAGTCCGCTGGTAAGGATGCGGCTGGATGGCAGACTGCAGGCAGTGACTCTAAGCGACAGAACCGACCTCAGTCTGTTTCCGGACCTCCTGCTGATAAGGAAAGCACCACCGTATACGTTAAGTTCGTCACGGATAAGGTCCAGGATGCAGACCTCAGGAACGCTTTGACTGCTTTTGGCGAGCTGAAGAGCCTTGATATCATCCGCCAGAAGGTAAGTTCAGATCCTCTACTATAAGACTGTCGTTAAAGCTAACATGGCATAGAACTGTGCATTCGTTGAATTTAAGACCCCTGAAGCCTCCAAGGCTGCGGTTGCTGCTAATCCTCACACCATTAACGGCGAGACTATCATGGTCGAATCCCGTCGCAACAAGCCCGGTGCTAATAACGCTGGTGGCCGAGGCCCCGTTTCAGGACGTGGCCGTGGTAGTGCTGAAGGCGGACGATCCGGCGGCCAGGGCCCCCGAGGCAACTTCTCTGGTCAAAACCGTGGCCGTGGTGGTGCTCCTCGCGGCCGTGGTGGTGCCCAGTCCCATAATGCTTAAGCAACAGCGACTGGTATATATAAAGTGGCAAGGACCAGACTTTCACACCAGTAGTCTGTCTTGGTTCTGCTATCCAGGCCCTGGACCGACCAGGATACCAAATCGAAGTAATCACAACTAATCTACGTGATATGCATAACCATTCAAACATCAACATGAGGGGACGACAACAGAAAACAAGCTCAGCAGATGGTCAGGGGGAGCGGTAAGGGAGCGGAGTTTGGTATTCCCTTTTGGAGGAAGGATGGAGTTGGGAATTTGGAGTCATATTTGTTCGTTTTTCAGTTTCGGTGGTTTGCGCGCTGCATCTGCATCTGATCCTCTCAGCCGGCGATTGGGTTACGGATTTCAGCGAAAACAGGGGAAAGGTCCTAGGCTGGGAGCTTTGATTTGGCATCATTACTTTCTAATGACCGTGTACATTCTTACAAAAGCGAACGGACGGGCGATAGAGGTGTCAGTACCCGGATGGGCAAGAGGACAACGACGGGTATACATACTCACGAAGCAGTGACAGTTGACGATGATGGACGAGAGTCCAGGCCTATGATGAATGAGTAGGCCTGGAGGGACCATGTTCTGTACTTTTTACTGTGCAAGTAGTAATGATCAGTAACTTTTTGGTTTCCAATGTTTGAGTCGAGCTACCAGATCAGATCAGATCAGCAAGTGAGTGCAGAATTTTCATATGAGGTCAACGTTTTCATGTCATGTCATGTGAGGCAGGTAACGTAGCATGCTGAAGATCCAGGACAGGAGGGGCATGACGGTCATGATATCCAGTATCGGTCTAGAAGGACCTGTAGAAGCAATGTTGTTGTTGCTCGTCTTGTATATGCGATGATATCCGAAGTTAAGCTTGCAGAGCCTCGTGGATCAAACAGGTCGAACGGTTCGTCGCATTAGAAATTGTTGTTAATGATGGACGTTGGTCAAGGTTCTTTTGTAACAGGGGAAAGCATTGACAAAAGGCCAAGCCAGTTACTGGGGGACTTTTGAACGAGAGAGGATACCCACGCGTAATAGTTACTATGCAAGAGGCAAGGAGAACTTGGTTTTGAATCTATCGACGGTCAAAGTTGCACGTGTTCGTGTAACAGACACCGCGATTTAATTCTATCCATTCGGTTCGTCGGAGACTATCCCGAATAGCCAGGGCGTGTCCTATTATTGTACACAAGGTCAGGTATGGGAGCTTATTCCGGACACGCCGCACAATGACATGGGGAAACAAAAGGTTCCCCGGGTATTTTTGCGACCTTCTAAAAGCAGACCTCAGGGAGAAAAAAGAACAGCCAATATTATGTGAGGGAGAATTTCTGGCGATGGGACGATGCAAGCAAGGTCCTTGCCGAGAGATCCGGGGAGTATCGTTATTATTATCCTGGGCGATCAGTTCAGTTAGTTTGCTATGGAAATATCTGAGACAGCGGCTTGAGCTGATCACATTTTCGTTGGGATTGTTTTAGGAGTAAAGGTTGCAGCCAAGACGGGAGAGGATCATCCATGGAGTGCTTGTTCTGTAAGCCTGTAGGCTTGGTTTACGATACATGAATCACGTACGTGTATGTAAGTCAAAGATAATTAATTTGTGGATGGAATGTGAGAGCCTCGACTTAAAACTCCGTCGATGGTACTTTTTAGGATCATGTTCCTTGCAAAATGAGACAAGGAAAGGATCGACATAGAGCCTGAGCTCTCCAGACTTGCTTACAGGTCTCTCGGAGGAATAATTACCGTGCGATTTGCGCGATCGTCAAGAAGCAATTCGACTGCCGGTGTCACGGACGGAATTAGCAGCAATCCAAAGCCCAAGCCCAAGCAAATCAAACAATCTCACTGCATGATGAATTGGTTGATTATCTTGATGATCAAACGTCACGTCACACCAAGAAAAAGGGCTTGCGTGTTCTCTCCCCCGCAACAAAAACAGGCTCCTAGGCAATGCATGCAACATAGGTTGTGATAGTACTAGTTATCAATCGGCCCTGCTCCAGGTTCTTGTGCTTAATAGTAACCTATTGGGAACCCAATGGACAGTAAGACGGGAAGTTTCTGACGGAGATGGTCCGGAAATGTTGTGCAACCCGCGCGGGCCGCTCTAAGAATTCTATTGACAATGTCTATTGGGTCCTGCAAAGAAGAAGAAGAGGGGGGGTTCGGTGTGGTCCGTGTATTCATTAGATTCGTTGTCTTATGCGAGTGAGTTGACTCTTGATGTTCCTTCTTCGCATTCATCGAGTCCGAGGATGAGTCGATCAGTTCATCCATGATTCGTCCAGTCAGCTCGCATGAAACATGAAAAATGATTTACCTGTAACAAGGAATGAAAATGTCACGATGGCTGACTATGAATAATAGAATAACAGGAAATACTCATATAGAATATTAGTGTGGGGCTATTTATGATTCGAAAAAGAGACGCCGAGTATAGAAGGGCCTGACCCCAGACATAGAGAGGGGCCACTATCAAAGGTGCCAATGCTAGTATCAAAAGTTCCTTTGACGAGCGCAACGCTTCCAGAGCGATGAGGTAAGCTGCCCTGCCGTGGAGAAAAGGATACGTGGGCCTCAGGGAGCAAGAAAACGCCGGACCTTAAGGTAGGGTGTCACAATAAACTTAGCAGAGAGTCCCCTAAGCTTAGGTTAGATTTACCTAAGCATTTTTATCTCTTAGGGCCAAGGTCCTACATTTTCTTTCCTCCCTAGGTAGGTACTCCGGAAACTTCCCAGGAGTCTGGTTCGCTTTTGACGGGCGAATCAGCAAGCAGATTGAATCATTATTCATCGAAACGGTGAAGGGCACTTTTGTAACGGAACAAGGTGCAGTTTTCTCTGTTGGTTGGCTCATGCTGTTGCGCCTGCAATGCGGCGTCTCGGATTGATGAAATGAGAGCCGAAAATATATTCGCTGTGGAAAGGACTTTTGTGCGAGTTGACGTCCTATCAGGTAACAGGATGAATGAGTTGCAGGACAGGTCTCGTGTTTAAAGGCTTTACATATTAAGCGACGACCTGAGGCTCCGGATCTTGAAGTCGAGACCCGGCCGAGATATCGATTGTGGCTTATGTACGTTGAATAGATTAGTCCGTATCGAGGCTTGAACTCTATCGGGCGCCTCCCTCGATTTACAGGTATGGGCTTTTTGGATGTTGGAACGGCAATTGCCCTTATACCAAAACTGTGAGGACTTGTATAGGATGATCGCCCAAAGAGGGTTGGGTGATTCTCATATCGACAAAACATATAATTCAAGGTTAAAATACATACTCGTAGCAGAGCTTCCATTGGCAGTGGAGAGAAACTCTCTCAGGCAAGTTCTGTGCCGGTTATCCGTCACCCTTTTGTGACCTCCCCGACCGGGACTAGCGAGGCAAGGTGGGGCCGTGTGCTGCAACTTCCTCGTGCGGTTCTGTCTGTGAGTGTGGGCTTGTGAGACCCTAGTTCGCGGGACCTTTTGGCGGGAAGGTGGTCCTTTTGAACCTGCAACATGCGGCTGCCACTGACAGTCCACCACCGAGAGACAGTGCCAGGCAGGCGCAGGCACAGAACAGGTCGAGCAAGCCATGCCATGTGTCGTGCTTTCCCGGGACCGGGGGGCTTTTAACGATCAGGGTGCTCTTTCCCCGACATCTACTAGGTTCAGTTACCTTACCTAGGTAAGTACCTACAGTACAATCTCACTGCCCAGCTCCTGCGGAGTCAAATCGAGTCGACAACCAGGCCTTGGAAGGAAGAGGAGAACCCTGGACTTGGCACCACCAACGACTTCTTGCACTCTTCATCCTCGCGACATCTTCGAGGTCAACAATAGCACCTTCAGGTCAAGATACAGAGCCCTACACCAAATCTGAAAAAGATATCCACTAGCACAGGCGAGATCGGCAGTCAGCGCGGAAATTCGGCGCATTTAGTACAGTAAACTCTGCTGCACTTTGATGCGCTCTTCAAAAGTGCGGATCGCATCACATCCGCGCATCCCACAACCCGGCCGAGACAAAAGGCCAATCAAGACTCTGTCGCATCAGATCCAAATGTGATTGTCCTGACTTGCTCGATTTAGGCGAAATCGCTTTTCTCGAAACAAAAAAAATACGGTAGCGTCCACTGCAACAGCGCGCCGGCAGCCTCATCTCGCCACTCTGAGCCTGTGCCAGCGTTTTGGTCCACGCTCCCAATACCATTCCCACACCCTCACGTTTCTACGACTTCCGGCTGCCACTCCACTCTCTCATCTGAATCCTCCTCAAAGCTCGGTTCAACGTGGGCCCTTTTGAAACGGCTGACGTCGCTTTGTTCTGGTCTGGCTGCTCCGGTTTGGTCACCGTTTCCCTGACCTTACCATCGATCCTAGTCACCCCGAGCAAAAGAGCCGCCGCATTTCCATTCCTCTTCCATACCCCATCGAAGCTGGACGGAGGCACGCCTGGTTTGGGCCCTACCGGCATCCCGTTGAACCCCGTCTTCCAGCTCGACTCACACCCCCTTCGACCCACGATTCTCTCCTCAAACTTACGAACCCCTGCGTGCGACCTTCTTCCACGACAGATGCTTCTCTTCATGGATCCATGCTGACTGTTCTGATCCTCTCACCTACGACTTCCGTTGGCTCGCTCCAGTTTCTTCTACCAAACCTCTCCACACAACCTCAGGGCGGGTCGGAATGATCAACCTCCTCAGTTTACCGTCCTCTATGGAGACTCCTATGGCCAATGCTCGTTGAGGTTCACGCCCCCAGACGACAGAGTCACCCTGTGAGCCTTTTCCGTTCCGTATCGGCCGGTCGTGGGGCCCTCTCCGACTTCATATAAGTCCCATCTCCCTCCAATGGACCTACGCAGGGCCACGGCCGAGGACGATGTATCATCCACGACCGCTCCTACGTCGCCGCCCCTCAGGCGGCGTGTATCGATGGAGGAGGACCTCTACTACCAGCGTGTCATGACAAGTCCGCGCCGACCCTCCCAGCCGCCTCCGTACCAGCCAGAGCGAGATCCGCCGCCGACAACGTCGAATGTCTCCCATGCTGGGGATCGTTTGGAGAAGGGGAAGGAGCTCACGACTGGCGGGGGCGGCAAAACTCAGCTTCATCCAGATACAGGAAAAGAAAGCCTTCCCGACTATAAGAACTCAATATTACTGGAGGGTGTATTTGACAAGAAACACGAAATCGAAAACTTGATAAAGAGGGCCGAGGATCGCCAATGGTATCCCGTTCACGTCTGTTTGAATGGAACAGCGCTTAGCATATATGGTACCAAGAAAGCATGGAGTTGGGGTAGAACACGCAGTGACGGGCCATCGGTCGACCCAGATAACCCTCCATGGGTGAAGAGGGGCAAGCTTGAGAAGACATACAGCCTCTTGTATGCGGATGTCGGTATTGCCGCTGACTATACGAAGTAAGCTACCAAAAGCCAAGGCGTAGGATTTGTTATTGACAAGATACAGGAGGCGATATACCATCCGTATTCGAGCCGAGACAGACCAATTTCTCCTATGCTGTATCGAGCTGAGTACATTCAACAAATGGCTCGAAGGTCTGTTTGCAGCTATCGATATTGCTCTGCCTCTGGAAGACCGAGATTTCCCGCGTGATATGTCTATTCCCCGAATACAACGAATTCGTTGGTTCCATGGCCAAACGCCAACTGCTACAGCTATTGACTTGTCAGAACTGGGCATTGAAGGGGGATCTGAAGAAGTCTCTGCGACAACAATTGAGGCTCGTCCATCAGCGCCACCTTTACGATTAGCTCCAGAATCTCAAACCAGGCTAGAACCTGAAATTGAGGTTGAAGGGGATGAAGAAGAAGTGGTTGAACCCCCTCCACGAATAGACCTTGCCCGTCGTCTCAGCACAACGTCATACAACAACATGGGCATTGACCCTGTCGATGGAAAATGGATACCAGAACATCAGTGGTCGAGTGCTCATGACTTGCTGTATGCCAAGCTCTGTTACAGCAACTTACTCTTTAGAAGTCCCCGCAAAACACCATACATCATCAGCAAGGGCAAGAAGTTCTATGTTGATTGGACGACAGGCCGAATGGTCAGGGTCCTCCCGCCTGCCTACGGTGAGATCGACTACTTTGGGGCTTGGCAAACGGTTCATACCGAAAACAGACTTATCTGAGTTCTTGGCCAAACAGACACTCCCTCCTACCACTACCATATCATCTATCTCATATATCTCATCATTACCACATACACATACTCACTGGAGTCGACATCTATTCTCTTACGACAGACACCACCGCGACCAGTCATATTCTCTTCAAGATGACACACTTGACCCTATCATGGGTTGGTTCATTCTACGACACATACAACTAGATCAACTCATATTATGTCACATACGGAGCTAGATATTCTTCTCCTCATCTCTTACTTTCTTCGCAGTACATATTTTCTCTGCATATCTGGCGCATGGAAGGCTGCGGGTGCATCAGCCGATGATGACAGGGGCTTACGATCATGGAACGGAGTTTGCATCTCATTTATTGTTTACTTAGATCCTCGTGCTTTCTACATTTGAGGACGCTACACGGCATGAGTTGTGGTGAGTCGCGCCCTCGGCCATTTGGTCTTGAGCATGAGTGGCCATGGCTGCTTTTCCATATCAGCAATTCATACACGTTTGCATGCATGGATTGTGATGCATGTACATAGAAAACATTGAAAGAAACATTTTGAAAGATAACATTGCAACTAAATGCCAGATTGACTGTGAAGGTTGCTGCGTAAATGCTGTTATACAAGACAAAACAAAACATTGGTATAATAACGCCCGTTACTCCCGGATCCATTGTATGACCACTGCATACGTTCAGCTTTTATGCTATCTATATGCATCTTTTTCGTCGTTCACATTCATGATGATGCTCCTTGTTGCCCGCCACCGTTGGCAGCGTCAACGGCTGCTATGCCCTGTCTCGTCTCAGCAGCAACATCGTCCACAACCGGACGCAGCGCGTCATTTGCGCCCTGGACATCGGCGACGACAGCTTCGAGGGCATCAAGAAGGGCACGGATTTCTTCTCTTTGACGACGAACTTCATCATACAACAGAGCGTTTTGCGATTGTGTCGTTTGTAGGCGAGCATTGAGTTGCGACTGGTGCGCCGTGAGGGCGGGTGTGAGATGTGCGGCGAGGATTGCTGATGGGGGCAGAAGGTGAGGACTATATATACGTTAGTGGATGGCTATTATAGCAGTGGGGAGGGAACTTGCGGTGTTGGTTCTGCTGTTGTTGACTCGGCGCGTCGGCGGGAAGCATCGCTAATAAGGCCCTCTAGATCATTGAGCTTAGGAACGACCTGTCTCGACACCATAATATTGTCAAACTCTTTCTGCCCGTCTCGTATTAGCATTGTCCTTATTTACCGCTTCGTTGTGTCATACCTCGCACTTCTCGCCAAGCTTATCAACCATTTGTCCCTGGACCTGCCTCAACACACCCTCCGCCCTCTTCGCAACTGTAGGGTAGCAGCCGGCGACATTATCCCATCCAATCTTCCCCAGCGTCTTCTTTAGCGATCGCGCATAGAGTTCTTGTAGACGCGCGGCGCGGGGACCAGGCGAAACGGCTGTGTGTCGCTGAGGGAGGGGGGGTGATGCGGGAGGGTCTTGTTCTGATTCTTGTTGTTGTTCTGCTTCTTGTGATTGAGTTTGTGTTGTTTCTTGGGCTGCTTCGGCTTGCGCGGGTTGTTCGGTTTGCGGATCGGGCGCCATGACGATAGATATGGCACCGATGTTGAAGATGTTTGTTTGTTCTTGGTGGTTGAGAGACGCGACTGATAAGGCGGCGCGTGGGGTAAAGTGCTATACATAGTCTACCTCTTATCGCACGTGGTCAGTCATGATCACTATAATTCCTTATCAAGGAAATCCAGAGTCAATCTGGTCTTAAATATCCAGAATATCTATATATGTCTATGAAAACAAGCTTGTAAAAGCCAAATGTATGTCATGTTTGTATGTACGATGTGTATCCGCCCATGCCCAGCCCATCATAACAACCGAGGCTCATCAGCTCATGGAACTTGCACAAGTCCTCATGACGCAGCCTTTGGTCTGTTGCACCACCGTGTTGTGGTTCCAAGTAGAAAATCTATAGGGTATCGATTAAAAATACCAAGGAAAAAGTGTTCGTTCGTCTGTATTTTGTTGATGTTGTCCCTCTCGTCCTCTTCTTCATCGTATGTCTCTCCGTGTTCAGTTGGCAGCCAGAATTGCAATTGCGTCAGCGTCCGTAGCGCGATCCTGCTTTCCGCCGTTTCTTC